GCGAGGCGCGGGAGCAACACCGAGGGTTGCGATCCCGTTGCCGGTCCCGGTCCGGTGCAGGTGCAACACTGAGGGTTGCGATCCATTGCCGGAAACGGAAAAAGACAAAAAGAAAAAAAAAAAAAAAGGAGAAACTGGGTAGCAGCCGTGGTCGGTTTTCGCTTCAGTTTTTATTTAAAAAACAAGGAAATTACAGGAAAAGAATAGATGGTTAACCAGTCATAGTAAGAACATAAAGAAATTGGCTATGTAACAATCTCCATCCAAGCATGCATGGTTCAAAATAGTTTAAATAATATACCATCAAAAGAGTCATAAATCTAAGCTAGGTGACATGCAAAAGAAACAATAAGTCAATCATGAAAGTGCCTGACTTCTTGAGAAACTCACAGAAACAGCTTAAAGCAAAATGTGGAAAACCCCCCCCCCCATGTACTAACTAATCTAGCAAAACGTCCTTGGAAATCTTAACTCACATGTTTTCCCATCATTTAAGCTTTGTTGTATTAAAGGTTATTGCCTTCGGAACAATCCTTATTCTGTTTCAGTTCTTTTCTTCACATTATAGGCTTTAAACCTGTGTGAGTTTCCTTTTCACAAAATCTTCCAATGAACCCAATATATTAACAGTGTATATAATCCCTAACCCAAACAGTGATTAGAATTGATTCGGTGGGCTCTTGCCCCCTAGCTGTAAGCTCTTGCTTCCTGTCTGAGGACTTTTGTCCCATACCTGCATTACCTAAAACCCTATGCTAAAAATCAAATAGGAATCAAGATTTCTAACTCTCTCTACCCTCCTAATGCCGTTTTGCCCTGTTGAGCATGTCCCCACTTCTGCATTTTGCTGCGGGATTGTGGTGTGGATGCCACACTTCTCCATCAGGCTGTGTCCTGCCCAAAACCTGCTTCCACGATGCCACACCTCACCCTGCTCGCTTGGGGCCACTGGTCCTTGCACACACATGCTGCTCAGTCCTGACGTTTTTGTGTCACCAAGTCCTGAACCCAGGTGCCGGCGCCTCGGAGGTGCTCTGGCTCAGTATTCGGCTGGAAGATAGATTAGATGCCCTGACATCTGCTGACCTGCCAGTGGAGAGTGAAGTCCCTGAGGCCTTCTGTGTCTGCTTACTTTCCCGGAATCCTAGTTTAAAACTAGAGTAAACCTCATGAATTGCCTGACTACTTCTTCAAACAGCTTCTCGCCCAGTGGGGAGAAAACAATCCATCGGTTACATTGCATTGCGACAAATGCCATGAGAGCACTCGGCTCAGACTGGGAGGGAGGAGGAAAATGTGTATATGCTCGTGTACACATAAAGAAAGAGAGAAGGCGAGAGGGAGGAAAGGAGGGAGGGAGGGAGAGAGTGATGGGCAGAGAGAACCATAGAAATATGCTTAACAACAAAGTGATCTACAAGGAAGAAACCTGAGGCTCTGAGGGAACAGGTAACGTGTCACCTGCTTGACTTAAAAGCTCAGCTGCTGCTTCCATCACGATGTCAGCCTGCCCATCACCCTGCAGTGCAGGTTATGTCTGTGAAGACACAGCAGGTGGTGAGAGGCCAGGCTAACAGTGATCAATGGCAGGACACAGAGCTATGCAAAGGAGCAAAATGGTAGTTGTGAGCAATCTATCACTACCAGGGAAGGCTGGTATTTTCTGAAGGCGGCTTCCCTGTGAAACACAAGAACTATTACTAATTTTTAACTGGCTATCACAAAGAAAGGTTTTGAAGACTGGACTAAGCATGTTCTCACCCATTACAAGGGATGCTTTGAAATGTACTTCCGGGCCGAACCCATGGCTCACTCAGGAGAGTGCGGCACTGGGAGCGCCGAGGCCGCCGGTTCGGATCCTATATAGGGATGGCCGGTGCGCTCACTGGCTGAGCACAGTGCGGGCGACA